GTAAGTGTCTGAAACTTAGCGAAACAAAACGCCTGACCAGCAAGACGCTTTGAAGTAAAAGTGATTTTGATGGACTGCGGCTATGCGGGAGGGGAGATCACGTCACTTCCGTTGCCTGTACACTCGTCGATACACGAGGTGGCCGTTCTACAGAATGGCGAATCAACGACTGTCTGATCTCTTTAAGCGGAGCTTGAGGTAATATGCATAAGACCTATGGTAAGGTAAGTTAAAAATATGTCTAATGAGTGATTCAGTATTGGCTCACGTCACTAAGGACGCATTGCGCTACCATTAGGAAGCCGTGTGAAGGCCATGTGTTTTATACCGAAGGTAAGTGAAGTATCAGTCACCATCATTTATTCATCTACTCAGTGACAGTTGACAGTTTGCAACACAAAGTATACTGAACAGCAAAAGAAACGCAAGTTTGGAAAAAATGGATTCTCATGAAGGTATGCCTTCAGGTTTATGGAACGTTCATGGTAAAGTGACGTAATGATCCCAGATGAGATGATGTCATGCAATTTGACGTCTATACGAACCATTCGCACAAGCACACCAACAGTGCAGCAGAACCATAATTTTAGCACCTGCATCGATGGTTATGGATGAAAAGCATTCATTTAACTCTGAGATATCCTTTATAAAGGTTTATGTAAAAAAACAGTTCAGTATTGACGCTAGGAGGTGTGCACGCCACACAAACGATGCCTAGACTACGACAGAGCAGAAGGGAATGGCTATTGGAAAGTTTCACGGAGGTAGCTCTGCAACTGCTGTAGCTAAACAATTGGGCTATCGTCTTACCACCATTACACGACTTGCTCAACGTCATCGGCAAAGTGGGTTGCTGCTGATCATCCCCGTACCGGACGGCAACGAGTGACAACTCATGCTCAAGATCGGTCATCCGGGTCACTCATCTAAGGAACCGAACTCAAGCAGCAACAGTAACAGCAGCCTTAGTTCTCGGGTCAAGGGGAGCAGTGCCAAGTGATAAGATTAGGCGTCGTCTTTGGGCTGCTGGCATCCACTGCCGAATTGTGGGGCCAAATTTGGCAGGTCAACAACGCCAGCGACATTTGCAGCCCTCACACAGCAAGGGGGTCGATGGATTATCTGGCTCAGAACAACATTAAAGGTCACATAAACCCTAGGGGTTAAAAATATATAAATCACTAACTCGCATCGTTATAAATGAAACCCCGTCATTAAAACTACTCATTTCGACCTTTAATTGACTTAAATCGACCTTTTTGACAACAGTGCACAATTCTCACCCGCGAACGAAATTTCAACCAATCAGAGCGGCCCGACTATGTGACGTCATATGAGGAATAGCTTGGAGGGCCTGTGCAGAATTCATCTACATTTTAGGGGTTAAATTATCTTGTTTACAGGCTTGTATAAACCTGAAATCGCGACAATTGTTGTGGAAAATGAAAGCTATATGTTCTCACAATCTACTGTCATTTAATTTTGTCTCATGCTTTGCCTAGTTTCCGAAGTTACAACTTGTTTTCCTAGACGATTCTGTCAAAATCGATTGGTGTCGTTAGGGCCCTATTTGTATGACTGATCCAAATTGATCCCATTTCTGTGTTTTTTTACCTCGATATTTAATCATGTCATGTAAAAATCTGTTTGTATTCTCAAACAGTGTCGGCCCATAAGTTTTCACATGCAATACAGCAATTAATACTCCCTTGTTGTAACCCGTGTTAGGTGGTATAAACTCACATGTTATTTGTCATCATTCACTTGATGGTCAGTTAATGAATTTATAACAGGTATAATTAGTGGTAACACACTTAAATTACTCGACAAAGGTTCCCATTTGGCATTTCTTGTGTCTGGAGTAAATATTCAACATTATAAACATCGATCAAAGGATTAACCGATAACACGCTGATTGATTAATTACTTTTATCTTACACAGCGGAATTGTCAAAAGGTAGTGTTTATGTATGTAGATTTACTAATCTATACTGAATACACTCTGTCGTGGTCGGTGTCTGCGTAAAAACAACGCCCTTCTTCAAAGGATCAACCGGCAATACATTGATTGATTGCCCATTATTGGCTAACTAAATTACTGTTTTTAAAGAAAGGCGGACATTATGCAATTAGTTGCCAGGTGTGCTATCTTGGGTGACCAATGAGACTATACACCAATACCTGAAAAGATTTATCACTTTTTCGTGATATTAAACTGTTAAAAGACACATCATTTGGAACAGTTTTGTGGATATTGATGGATACATTCCTCGAACAAGGTAATGGCCTGATATTGTTCCTATAACTTTAATCTGTTTTAATTTTAATATTTGCATTTTGTTTTTATTCATTTGTCGTAGCATTCAACAGAATCATTGTTTTCGCCGTGAAGTGTAATGAGACAGACAACATGCACTAGGGTGTGTGTGCTAATTATGATTCACATTGGCAAACTATAAAATGTCTAGATATTACAGTTCTGTTATAAATTCACTATAAGTATCAGCAGATCGCCTGCTTTTTATTTAGTTTCAAAATGCATACAAGTATGATAATAAACTAATTAGGATTATAACACCAAATATAAAGACGCATTATTGACTAGTATCTACATACTGGTGAGTGGACATTAACCATGGGAATGTAGCAAAGAAATTTATCGCAAGCAGTATTGTGACTTCGACCCCCACCTCGCCTCGTGGAAGAAATCGCTATGTTATAAGTTGTGTCATGCAAAAATCCGCTTTGGTTATGATTCCAATACATATTTAACTACGAGTAGAAAGTAGTCTTGATTATCTAACTTGATGAAAACAAACCATAATCTCCTTAATTCTAACAGATTTTTTATTTTAAAATGGATGGCGCTTCTCTGTCGGGAACATCCGCCAGTCTGAGGATAAATGGTATTTAGGTTTGTTTCCACGAGTTACAAAATCAAAACTACTTTCTACTGGTAGTAAAATATGTATTTTATTGATGGCCAATAGGATTTTGCATGACAAAGCGATAACATAACAATTTCTCTCGCGGGCAGCGAGGTGGGTGTCAATATAATACTACTTACAATATTATTGTTACTTCGACCACAACCTCACTTCCGAGGAAGAAATCGCTATGTTACAAGTTGTGTCATAGAAAATCTTTATGGTCATCAATCATATGCATATTTTACTACAACTAGTAAGTAGTTTTGATTCTTTAACTTCCGTGGAAGCCGATCTGAACACAAGTAAGATATCGCTTCAGGCTTCCACAACGCCAGCCGCGACTCACAAACATAACCCATTTAGCACTTAACTGCGGGTCCTGTGGAAATCTGTGCATGGGGATACCATCGCCCGACCCCTAGGAGCAATTGGACGACAAAGCAACGATTCGCATGTCGCCGTTGATGTCGAAATCATCAAAATGATGAGCGCATACACATTTTCTATACAACTAACTGAAAATCGTTCCTCATATGACGTCACTGCAGTGCTCTGGCGACAGAGTTACGTAACCTGTCTGTGGTTTCGTTTTCGGGCGAGAGGGAAGCAGGCGACTTTTTGGCAACTTTTAATCGCTCGGTATTAAATAACCACAAGTTTTTAAAGAATACATTTGGTGTTCCGCATAAGACTAACCACAAATCTTTCATATGTAATGGTTAAAAGAGTAACAAAAAACAAAGTTTAGTGGTTCTTTAACGTCTCTTTCCCCGGATATGGCTCCCATTGAACATTCTGGGACAAAATTGGACAGAAGATTGCAGCAGGTAGACAGCCACTCACACTCGCACAATTGGAATAGAGATTGGTGTTTGAGCGGGAACCAATTGCCTCAGGCATTCTTTCAGACTCTAGTGAACTCAATGAGGCCACGTTGCACGGCCTGTGTGCAAGCTCAAGGGGGCTATACGCGCTACTAATGAGACTGTCACTTTTCGCGTTCAGGGGCATCTCCATTTGACGGACTGTGATCAATTTGAACTTATTGCAATTCAATGTCAACAGCAACTTTTAGTTGTTAAATTGACAGTGTTTTCTATAGAATAAATGATTAAACATAATTTTGGTTGTCTTCTATTCAAAAACTTGACAGAAAGCCAGACTTGCGGTTATTTTGCTCTTCAGTATATTATATAATCATTTTAAAAAAATACTGGAGCTCCCCACTGTCCAATAGCTTAAGGAAGATGGTGGTTATCGGGTTCGTCGTCCTTTACAGTGAGTGCCTTTAATATTTCCCAATTTAAAATGCTATTTTCGAAATGTGTGATGGGTTCACACGTCTTATTTCAGGAAGTGTGAAAGGTTCACACATTTATTTCATCCACTAGTGTGAAAGGTTCACACATTTATTTTTTCATCACAAGTATGATGGGTTCATACTTTGTGTATTATTTTCAACATGAAAACTAGATGTAATTAAGCTTTTGAATGGTAGTCTAAAAGACTTTGGACGCCAGGTCGATTCCGGTCAAAGGCAAACACATCAGTAATCCTTGTTAACAGCATGTATTTTTACTTTGCGCCATGTCATATTTTTCTGTTATTACTAATATCCTTATCATTTTTGCTTTGTAGTTTTTCTGATATAAGAATGTATGTAATTACTTTAATGCAAGTACAGATACTATGAATTTACAAAATCAGTGAGCCAGGCCACTCAATCTTGTGGTCTCTTCTGACAAGCCCGCCGTGATGTTGCTGGAATATTGCTAAAAGCGGCGTAAAACCAAACTCAGTCAGTCTTCTGACAAGCATGGTTTGCTGAAAACAATCCTAACCCAGATGTTAATAGATGTATGTCATATGAAAAAGCATTTATGTCACAGAAAACATTACAATTCAAACAAAGCACTACTCCGGAATGGTTCCATTGTGGCTATATTGCACAAGAATTGTGGCCCAAACTTAAAATCAGATCAATGTTTTTTTCCAGAAGTTCATACATAGGTATGTGGCCCCTCGTTACATCTGTCTATAAATAATTGTACAATGTATATCTTGTCTTACCTGTGATTCTGTATTCTGCGGTTATGAACTGAAAGAATTAAAAGTATATATATCATAATAACATTTCTGTTCTAACTTCTAGAGATATAAGATAACACTGATTCTTGACATCATGGAAAAGAGAATTCAGGGGGTTCGAAACCACCCTTTTGAAAGTGACTTAAGACCACATTGAAATTTTTTTATTGGCCCTGACCCACCCCCCCCTTTCAAAATTCCTGGATCCGCCCATGTATAGGGCACTTTCCTGTTTGTCTGCAATCTTGCACCATTCTGATTAAACAAACAAAACTTAAATTCATCTGGAAAAACTAAGTCAGTCGTAAACATTTTCAAAATCACTGTGACGGGATTTCCAAAGCCATGCACAAAATACAAATGTCAACACATTTGAACTTACAGCAATGCCACTTTGTGGCAGCAATGTTACAGAGAGTGTGACAAAGTTGGGGAATGAAGGAGCTCGATAGATCCAAACATGAGGGAGATAACTCTAATTCCTGGTGATGCACACAATGTTGTCAGCTGTAAGTAATATTGACTTATGTGTTTTGGCTAATTGCAGTATGATAGTGTAAATATTATATTATTAGACTTTTGCAGTATCGCTGTTCGGTTCAGCAGCAAACTGTCGCTATTACAACGTACCTTCTTGAGTGGTGCAAACGCGTACGTTGGTGTCATGTAGGCATATGTTCGGCCACCACACTGGTTTTTACTATTGAAGGCTTTTGTTGCTCTCCTGTATGCTGAAAATATTTAAAACATCTCTCAGAGTGATTTCAAAGTTTTGATGTAGCCATCCAAAGCAGCATTTCAATAGTTGCGTCTTGACCAGACAAACCAGTGACTGTAAGCCAGAGCAACAATCAACAATTTGATTTGCTCTATTTGTGATTTTAAGGCAGTTTAACTGTCACAAATATTTTTCAATGCTTACTTGTCCTGTTCACAAAGTTCATATTTTTACATCCCAGAACATAAACATCTATCCAATATCTGTTAGCATTCAACATCTTTTAAAACAACACACTGGCTTCAAAAACATGACAAGTGTCACTAACTTGGAAAAGAATCTGAAATGGTTTTTTTATCATCTTCCATTATCAAACTTTTTCCCACTCATATCCATAAAGCAAACATATGACAAAAACCGTGCCTCGCCATTTCAACAAACTTATCTGCTTTTCATTCCCTACAGACAATCAATATATGAATACACATTTTTTTGTTCCAGACTATGGTAACTGCAAATCCCCCCTACAAAATAAGCTTACTGTGCTTTACTCACCAATAACCCTGATCTGTGGCGGCAGGCTCGCATTGATGTTGTCCACTAAAGTGTCTTGATTGAGCAGCATGTAAAGAACAAAATACCAAGGTCAACATATCTCGAAGGAAAAATATCACAGAAGGTAACAGTAAAACTGTGTTTGTCTTACATTGCAACCAGCCACATTACAGTATTACTCTGAATATAAGTTTGAGCCAGTGGTTGATATTATGAGTGAGTGAGTTTAGTTTTACGTAACTCTCAGCAATATTCCAGTAAATGACGGTGGTCTGTAAATAATCGAGTCTGGACTTAACAATCCAGTGATCATCAGCATGAGAATCGATCTAAGAAATTAGGATATGACGACATGTGTCAACCAAGTCAGTGAGTCTGACCACCCATCCCGTTAGTCGCCTCTTATGACAAGCATGGGTTGCTGAAGACGATAGATCCCGATACCAGTTTAATGAGGCGAGACGATATATCATGAAAGCATTGGCAAGGAAACTGCGAGACAATTATCATCACGATGCAATGGTGGCGATATGATACGCATCCCGATACTTTACCATTTCTAATAACAGAACATATATGATACATAAAATGACTGAAACTTCATTTGTTATACAGCAGAACTTGTGTTACATTCATACACTTCTAATAAAGATTCAGCATTTAATGCTTAAGAAAGTACAGTCACACATATTCAGCATACCTTGATCTCACATATATAAATTTGAAATTGACGTTTCCCTTGGGAAGCTGTGTTTCTGCACCAATGCTTTCACAAACAGTTCAAAGTAATGTATATCAGAATACAGAATCATGGAAACAAACTTTAAGTACGCATTCTAAATTTTCTCTTCTCTTTCTTAAAGCTAAGACATCGTTCGTAGTTGTTAATAAATGTTTTTTTGTCAAACAACTAAAACATATTTCAATTTCAAGTATTCTAGAGTCAACAGAGTTTAAAAATGTTCACATTATTTCACTTATACACTACCTCCTTTATTCATGTAACAAAGATAACAGACACAAACAAATTCCTACAAGGTTCAATTTGTTTTTAAAATTCAGATGAATTTCAAAGAGACTCCCTTCCCATACCTAATGCAATACTCCTTACAACTTTAAGCAATATTTAAGGTGTATCAGGATATATCGTCTCTCGTGGCGATACATCGATGTATCATGGACCCTCACAATATAAATATCCTGATATATTGCCTAAATGTGTAGTTGACGATGCAAACATCGATACTATCGATGAATCATTACACAACTATGGTGTATACAAATTTTTATCGAGGTCCCCATGTGACATATTTATTTATAACAGTACTGGGCCCCATTTCACAAAGCTCTCGTAGCGCTACGACTGTCGTAAGTCTTTGTTACAGTGTAGGAAGTACGAATGCTTCGAGAAAAGTTACGTGATCTTAAGCTTACGAGAGCTTTGTGAAACGGGGCCCTGGAATCCAATTTAGAGTGCAGGCCTAAAATATAGCTATATAGACTGGAAGCATGCACCTGTATATCAGGGCTGGTCATGGTAACATAACACTTATTACAGTCAACTGAATTTTATATGCTGCCTATGTTCCTATATTAGGGGGTGGTGGGCTAGCCTAATGGTTAAAGCATGTGCTTGTCACGCATTGTACTCCCCACAGGAGTACAGTGCATGAAGCCCATTTCTGGTGACCCCAGCAATGATATTGCTGGAATATTGCTAAAAGTGGTGTAAAACCATACTCACTCACTCCTATTTCGGCTGACTTTTCTGTCAAGATCTGTAGAGACCACCTGAGGTGAACTTTCTGTCAAGCCAATAAGTGTCAAGGCGTCAAGAAAAATGAAGCCAACATATTTCCGACATTTTATTTAGACTGTGCAGGGTTCATCCCAATAGTCTCTTATGGAGGTGAGGTGAAATTGGGTTTAACGTCGTGCTTGAGAATATTTCGCTCATATGACGACGTGCATGCGTGTGTATGTGCGGCTTCTTGTACTAGCCAAAGACTTAAGCTGGTTTTATAGTGCTAGCTCACTGAGATACCATGCCGCAGTGAAGCATGAATACCCCACTCAGACACAGTATACTGACTCCGAGCCGACCAGTCCTTGTTGTACCCATTAATGCCGAGCGCCAGGCAGGGACCAACAAGTACCATATTTTAACGTCTTTTGGTATGACGTGGTTGGGGATCGAATCCGCGACCTTCCGCTCTCCCTCTTATGGAAATGTAATAGTAACAGTAATAGTTCGCTTATATGGCGCTCATATCCAGACACATTGCCTGCTCACGGTGCTACGTACATTACTATCCCCGGTCTTAGGACACTATCATACTTTCCGATACTTTTTCAACTCCCTGGGGATCATACAACCATGCTGCCTGTTTGGCGCAATGAACTAAACACCCACATTGCCAGCACATCCTCACGGGTACCCATGTTACAGCTGGGTGAACTGAGACGATGTGGATCTAAGTATCTTGTCCAAGGATACTACGCAAATGTGCCCACCTCGGGACCGAACCTAGGTGCCTCCACCGGGGATCGAACTCGGGCCTTCAGCGTTATAGGCAGACACCTTACCACTGCACTACTGCGCCCCACTATGTCCTTCACAGAGGCAGAGCATAGTGAGTAAAGTCTGATTTTAACGAACTGAATGATTTGCATCAATGTCTCTTGGTCCCATATTTTACAAATAAGTGAGTGAGTGAGTTAAGTTTCACACCACTTTTTGCAATATTCCAGCAATATCACGGTGAAGGACACGAGAAATGGGCTTAACACATTGTACCCATGTTTGGATTCGAAAGCTGGTCGCGTGACGAGCAAACACTTTAACCACTAGGCTAAAGGGGAAATGACTGCTGAGCTACATATCTTCAACGACACCACATTCCCTACGGCGCTGACACCCTTGTCTGTTCGGGCTGCTCTCTGGAAGGACATCTGTAACACAGAAGCAGGGTGAATAAACCAACGAGTCTTCAAAACATTAGGAGTAAGACATTCTGTTTGGGATTCGAAATGTAATTGGGACTCAATCAAAACAGTGACCAGAATCTATAGTTTACTGAGAAAGTGTAATTCCAAACATAATATATGTTATATCTGACCACTTTCTAAATGACATTGTATATTCATAGCTTCGGCCATGGGAGACGTGCCAATTTACACCTGTCAGAGTGTTTACCTGTGAAGATCCGGGTTAGAATTTGCCTTCAGCACCCCATGCATGTTGTAAGGTGTGGTCAGGCTTGCTGACGTGGTTAACACATGTCATCTTATCCGAATATGTGATTGATGCTCTGTTGATCAGATTTGATTAGATTTATTATTTACTGACCACCACATTGCTGGAATATTGCTGAGTCGCGGTGTTAAACAATAAACTGAACTGAAACTGAATAGCTAAATTGCACTTAGGTGGGTAAACCTCCAGTTGTATCTTCATTCAACTATCATTTAAAGAGTGTAGTAAAAGGTACAAATGAAGATGGGGGTTCTTCCACTTGTATCTTCATCCAATGTGTTCTAGGAGGTGGAGGGATAATTTATGGCTTATAGGGGAGTACATATGATGATTTTATTTTGTTCTAGGGAGGTGTTATAGGCAGTGTGTGTGATGTGTGTGTGTGTGTGTGTGTGTGTGTGTCACATTGATTTTAACATAAATGTTAGGGGGTCATTCACATTGTGCATGCTTCTCCATATAATTCATCATCATCTCCCTCCCACCTAAGTCCCTAATTATTCAAACAAACATTCATCTGGAAAGTAGCAAGTTCGTCAAAACCCCTTTCCCTATTCCCGCTAAAGGCAGTCCCAAACACATACATAACACGACAAACGTAAGTTCACATTCAGGGTGTGAAGGAAACAGACACTTGTACACTGGCGGCAGCGATGACATGGATGAATAGAATCAAGTCGTCCCACGCTGGGATGGGGCTTGGCCCTAACAGCCTAAAAGGATATAAGAGTCGTCTCCCCTTTACTCCCAGGAATTCTCCTACTGAGTCAAAATGGAATGAACTCATTTTCAAAACCCTATATAGATACAAGAGTGGTCTCCCCTTGACTGACTGGACTCACCTATTGTGGACAGTCAAAGTGTTCCTGTGGAATGAGCTCATTTTCTAGAACCCTATACAGATACAAGAGTGGTCTCCCTTTGACTCAATGGACTCACCTTCTGTGGACAGTCAAAGTGTTCCTGTGGAATGAGCTCATTTTCTAGAACCCTATACAGATACAAGAGTGGTCTCCCTTTGACTCAATGGACTCACCTTCTGTGGACAGTCAAAGTGTTCCTGTGGAATGAGCTCATTTTCTAGAACCCTATACAGATACAAGAGTGGTCTCCCTTTGACTCAATGGACTCACCTTCTGTGGACAGTCAAAGTGTTCCTGTGGAATGAGCTCATTCTTGAGTAGGGCTGTCAGTAATTCTTCCTCGATGGTGTTAAATCCTCTGTTTCTGTTAAAACAAAATGGAGATAACAGTTTGATATTAAATTTAACTTATATTAAGCAACTATTCAATATAGACAAAAACAGGTATTCATCCTGTGACAGCCTACAATTAGGATGGAGCTCTAATCCAGGCTCACACACAAACTGACACACTTGGAAAACACTTGGAAAAGTATTTGGCAAAATGGCTATAATAAACAGTTATATTTTTTGCATGTACAGTCAGGCCGCGGTAATCCGGGCCTCGTTAATCCGAATCCACCGACTTCCGAACGCTACTCACCGGGCACCAAATCATCTCCCTATATATTGTATATAATTGACACCTCGTTAGTCCGATGATTCAGTTTCTGCCTCCGAACGTTGGTCAGTCGGAACGGATTGGACTAATTAAGTTGTAAACAGCTGCGTTGATCCGAACGATTGAAGTTGACCGCGCTGCTGACTGGTCCACCCACAGTGACACATTGTTTGTTTAGCGACTCATCCCTTTGATCCCTTTATCATAAGTGATAGGGTAATTTCGACGACCACGCTGTTTTGGGAAAGACTTCAATCCAGAAATCTATGCTCGGTACCGTTTCAACACCAAGGCGTGGATGACCTCTGACATGTTCTGTGATTGGCTGAGAACTTTTGATAGACAGTGTAGGTCACGTGGCCATTGCGTCATACTTCTCGTGACAAATGTCAAAGTTCACTTTCTTCCTCCCAACACTACATCCCGGATTCAGCCACTTGATGCTGGTATTATTCGGACATTCAAAGCTTATTACAAGAGATCATTAGTGAGACATTTCATCGCATGTGCTGAGGACGACAAACCCCAGTGTATAAACTTAAGAGAAGCCTTGCGATTCGTGAAATCTGCATGGGCAGATGTTTCCTGTCAGACAATCAAGAACTGTTTCAAGCATGTCGAAATTCTGCCAAGTCAAGAATCCCAGATTGGTGAAAAAACAACCTTTGCAGCAGCCCACCATTAAAGACTACTTTTGTAAGTAAAATTTGTGAGTGAAACAATGTGTAATAAATCCAGTGATTGTCTTTGATGTTTTGTTTTGATTACTTCACGTATCGATAGTAAGGAAAGATATCAAGGGGAAGTAACTCGGTGCATATACTGTGGTTTCAGCAGTACAAAAGTTTCACTATCCGAACGGGGTTTTTTTAAAAACCAAAGTGTTCGTATTAACGAGGTCTGACTGTATTAAGGCACGAAAAAGCACAATCAACATAGCGCTAAGATCGCTTACTGCATGTAGATCAAGATGATTTCAAATAAACTTCATGTGGAAAGAAAAAGGTATTTAGGTATGGTGCAGACAGACCAACCCTGAAAACAAAGATAGTTCAAATAAGGACAGAGGGAGCGAATGTAGTTTTCTGTCACAGTTTGGATTATTCAAGCTTTTGGAGCTGTCTGTAAATATTCTTATCTAGGACAGAAATAAAGTCTGTTTCATATGAGCAATGCACTTCAACTTTGGGTACACATCACATCCAGAATTGTTAGGGACCTTGTGCTTAAACTCATTTAACCATAGCAACAAATATCTAGGCAGGTTATACCTTTGTATGCCATAGTAACCCTTGCCACAGTAAGCCAGCAGCATGGCCACCTTCCTCTTCCGGTCAGCTCGACCCTGCATCGGAGCAACTTGCTGAAACACAATGGCGGTCACAGTTGCAGTAACACAATTTAGTAGACAAGCAACCTGCTGCTGAAACACAACAGCCATGGTTGCAGTAACACAATTTAGTAGAAAAGCAACCTGCTGCTGAAACACAATGGCAGCCATGGTTGCAGTAACACAATTTAGTAGACAAGCAATGCACTCTTGTAGTGACATGCATGGATGTGTGTGTAGCTGTTACTGACTCTGAGGAAACCTTTGTTTGAACACCTTAGTAACGAGGTCAAGGCAAGATAACAACAAAGTACTAGGATTAGAGCCTTAAATATACTAGGGCTGTTATGATTCAATCCTGAATTCACTGAATCAAACGGTATCATATCATGAATTCAATTTGTTATTTACTATCACCAGAAGTGATCTTTTTGGGGGAAAGGAGTGTTGTTACTTAAATTTGTTCGCTATATATGACAGCAAGATGAGCAAAATGTAATAGATCCAACTTAAACAGGATATGACAGTCAACACTATCATATATTGAATTTGACAATAAGTGGTCACTGGTCATTGCGATAAACTAACGGTCAACATGGTCAAGACATGTCAAATAATTTATTCTGCTATTTTACACCGAATATAATGCACAATACTTCAACTGCTGACTTAAGTAGATGGATGGATGATTGAATGACTTGTTATTGCATTTGTTACCTAATAGCAATATTCATTACAAATATTCATTACAAACATTCATGATATGTATCATACTTGCCCCATAGTGTATTTGTTAGAGCCCTAATATATACATATATTAAAATTTAACAGACCTTTAACATATGGCCAGTATTAAACACCCAATGAGCTAAACAAACCTCTTGTTTAGATTTCTTCTGTGCAGGTTCTTCTTCAGGGCTGTCTTCCTCAACCTTCTCCAAAGGCCTCTTCTCCATACCCTGCTCTCGGGTAGCCTGGGAAATATTAAATGTGTTTGCTATGATCAGATAGAGACATAACGTGTACACAAGACGGCCTATCATCTCTTGCGCGTGAGATGGGGGTGCTCCGTGAAACTAACTGAAACGCTTCCCCTAATTAATTCAATCACCGTGGAACCAACTTGACTGGATGTGAACACGGCACAGGGTGATTAAAGCGTCCCGTAAAATCCCCAAGCGTGGTGGTTACTTGACAGTCGTGAATAAACAGGTTTCTCAGGAAAGCAGAAACACCACGTCTAGTGTCGGTTGTTTACATATGTAAATTATGATGATACAGGAACTCTGAAGTTACATCCACAACATACTGTAGCACAACTGGGCCTTCTTTCTATGGCGTAACAGTGATACAGAAGTATTTGGACTGCATAATTTGCAGTTTCAATCTTGTTTGCCATTACAGAGAGAGTAAGAAGCAAATTGTTTTTTTCAAAATCTACACAATAAAATCACTGATGGTCAAGATATATATATATATATATATAATACATATATACACTGTCTATATACTGAGATACCCACATGTTTACTGAGGTCGAGAGCTTCTTCCATATTTCTTGTTTTTCGGATAATTCTACTCAGAGAAGCCGACAGGCGTCGAAGCATTAAGACCTGCTGCCCGGAACCCCTCCTGTCCAATGAAATAAAAATATTATCAGTGAAATATGCCAGTCTGGAGTCATGATTTGATAAATATGCAATGAATCTATCTAGCATGAGCTGCTATTAATTTCCATGCATCAATTTAATGAATATTTGGTACTGATTAATTCTCCCAACAACAACAACAACAATGATGGTTCTATGGATATACAACTTCTTTATTATTAATATGAGCAGTGTTTCAGAATAGCTACTATTGAGTACTATAGTACTAACAGTGTAACACCGTATTCAAGCAACATGTTAGCAACTACACCGAAATGTTGCTTATATTAATAATAAAGAAGTTGTATATACATAGAACTCTCCCCATTGTTCAATCACAACAACTTCTAAATTCCACTCAAAGAAGTGCTCCAAATAAGAGTAGATATTATTATTTTGACTGGTTTTGACAAATCTGGATGATGATATTTTGGCACTCTCAGAGGAATGGGGGTAACTCTAATGCTGTGTTCATACATGGTTTATTTTTAGAATGACATGAAAAAAGAGATTATTAGGAATATAACAAAATACCTACTATGTTTGCCACTGACATATATGATACAACCTTTTTTCCCTGATCATGTTGATATATCACATTTTATATCTGGATACACACGAACGGACGTCATAATCGCCACGATCTACCTTTTTAGATATTCTGTACCTAAATTATGAGGGGAAAAAACCAAATAAGTTACAGGTATGCATTATTTAACATTTCAGGCTATATATTTTCGACTGAAATATTTGATGTGATGAAAACTACCTAAGACAGTCGTTATGAAGGCAGGTGTAAAATAAAATTTAAACCTAGCACTGACTCAATCAGTACTTTACAATTTGTGTTACCATGGATACATTCTCAGCTACGTATCGGACACGAAGTAGAGTACTACACATACATATCGTACGATTGTGAGGCAACCGCCTGTGATACACAAGCTGGCTGATGGAGCAATGGTGTCGGTGAAATGTTTACAATCTTTTCGCTTGAATTGAAGTATTTTGGACGTCGCTAAATATGAATTACCATTCACGAAAACTCACACACCTTGTGTTGGGCTCCTGTGTTGTACCACACTCTGACACTAAAACCTAAAATTACTTTCTGTAAGTGAGAGCTTCTTGTTGATTTAAGGGAAACTAAAACGTCTACACAACCATGTGTACACTGGGTATCGCCATATTGGTTATTGGGAGTTATCCGCCCTTTGCAAAGATTCGGTACATTGTAAAATCGGAACCTGATAACTACTGGATACGAAATTATCGATTTAAACTCATTGTTAATCACCCTCTGCATAGAATGTAGAGTTCTGCCTCAAAATATTTATATTTATGACTTTCATTGCAAATTACCAACCAAAGATCACTCATTCTTCCCGTGTCCGTTGTAGTCGAGGGAGCAGGTGACCAGCCTGCAGCTTGGCATGTGTAGTGTTGTTATAAGTTAAAAGTGGTTTAAAAGGGGTTTGTTTATTGTTTCCAGGAAAACAAACAGATATCGATCTGGGCAAAGGAATCGTTATATCGCATATGCATGTACGAAATATAACAACCCCACACAACCCACACCCAGCGGTTGGCTAATCTCGTATCAAATGACGAATCTGGCGATCAAGATTTGATCTACTACAGCCCGTTTGGCTCAAAAGCGGAGCGATGAATTGCAATCTAACTCGAAAACTAATAAACATAACATACTCAATGAAACGCTGATCATAATAAAAACATCATACCCACTCTGTGAGGTTTTTGCAGAATTTTTGTCCTAAAAATAAAAAAGTTGCTTAACAAACTATCATTAAATTATTGACACAGTTCACTGTTTGTTACGAGGGAGGAGTGCAGAGAAAGTAACAGCCTGCTGGTGAGTACATTGATGCTGTTCTAAAGGAAGTTGTGGTCTGGGTGAGGTTGGGTGTGGTCAGAGACGGCGGATTTGGAGTCTTTATTCTTCACAGAGGTTTGATGTTCTTTTATTCTCACAGCGAGGGATCTTGAGGTTTCACCGATGTTCGAGTCACCACAGTACGTCCGTGAAGCCTCGCGACCCCCGGACCTCCCGAGAAGACTCGATTGCTACGCGATTTTGGCTCACGTGCTTCGCGGTCTCGAGGACGAGTACTTGCGTACTCGCGAGTAGTCGAAGGCCAGTACGCGAGTACTTTCAATTACCACCCCTTTCAACCCTAGCTCAGATCCTGGTTTTCATAGCCACTAAGAATATACAAGCAGCCACAAAGCTGAAACGTCACTGATTACAATCACTGACTAACAGTCCCGTGATATTGCCAAGACAGGCAGTCTATATAGGGATAATATAGTGCACTGATAACGAGGCAATATTCAGGCTGAAGGGTCGGGTGAAGGGGTACTTGACAATGATTTTACAGACTAGGGGCTCCTTTCACGAAGCAACCTTTACTAAGATTAACCTTAACTCCCATTCTTTAACATTGCACTAAGGTACCCTATAGTGACTTACGATCACCTTAGTGCTTTGTGAAAGGAAGCCCAGCCCTATAGTTACGGTTACGTACGCAGGAAACTTTTGTATAAATACAAAACTGAAGTCAGAGTGCAAATGAAACGAAACGAATATATAGAGAAGATGTTGACTTTTTTATACTAGGTCAAGGTCACCGAACACTTTCTGTAACTGCTTCGACATATTTTGAACAGTTTATACCTGTCTTTGACCAGACGAGGAATGCTGTTTGACAAGGTCGTCAAACAACCTGCCGAAGATTTATAGCCATGTATCATATATCCTACTGTCTTCTTTCCATCCTTTACAATTCATTACAGTGTTGATCGAAAAGTGTCAACACTACCTAGTTTTAATGTGTACTTTTTTCATTTGAAATATTATACTCTCGTGAACATTTTCAAGATGTTATAATTACATGGACCTGTGAAGTATGTGAATGAGTGAGTATAGTTTTACACCGCTTTTAGCAATATTCCAGCAATATCACTGCGGGCGGACACTAGAAATGGGCTTCTCGCATTGTACCCATATGATCACCCATATGAGGAATCGAACCCGGGCCTTCGGCGTGACGAGCGAACGCTTAACCAGTAGGCTACCTCACCGCTCCTGGACCTGTGAAGATCTGGGTTAGGACTGTTTTCAGTAACATGTGCTTTAATATTTACATTACAACAACTAGGCACATCATGACGGGGTCACCCGAAATGGGTTCATACATTATTCCCACGAGGGTATTCGAACCTGGATTGTCGGTGTAGCATGCGAACACTTTACCAACTAGATTACCCCCAGCCCATTCCCTGTAGTAAGAGGCTCGCTGACTTAGGTGATATAGGCTATGTCATTGTATCCTAACTGCGTATGTCGATCTGTATGACGTCGATCACCGAACTGTGTGGTCTATAGTCATATAGCTGGAGTGAGTGAGTGAGTCTTGTTTTATTCCACACACAGCAATATTCCAGCTATATGGCGACAGTCTGTAAATAATCGCGTCTGGACCAGACAATCCAGTGATCAACAGCATGAACATTGATCTACGCAATCAGGATACGATGACATGTGTCAACCAAGTCAGCGAGCCTGACCACCCAATACCGTTAGTCGCCTCTTACGAGAATGGGTTACTGAAGATCAATTCTAACCCGGATTATTTACGGGTTCAGGTTCACGTAGCTGGATTGCTGCACGCGGCGTTAAAACATAAATTTACAAATAAAACATGCTACAGTTTTATAAGACTCCAAGCCATCATTCGGAACCTGGCTGGTAGCGTTGAGTTGAATAATGAGTTGCAGGAAGGCAAGCATGTCTCTCCCGTACCTCCCGAGTCAGAGTACGGTAATGACCTGCCGGATTCTGTAAGTACTAAGGGACGTTACTCGCTGCCTTCTCAGTCGGAGACCGGTAGTTCCATGTTTGTGTGTGGGGGCTGGGTGTATATATCACTTTGTATAGTACTAACTCACGCAATTCACATTGGTTTGAAGGCACCCTACAACAGCTCGTGAGCTTCGTAAAACTGGCGTTAACACATAAGAGATAAGAAAAATACGCCTTTGTGGATACGAAACAAACAACAGAGACCGTACAAGAGTCCCAGTAAACTTGTCCAGAGACGGGTCCCAGTTTCACCGCTATTTGTAGATAAGTACTGATCAATCGCTAGTTTTATCAGACCCAGTGTCTTATGTACATTACACCCCAAGTGAACGCTGTGGCGCACATATCATTTGGACAAACCCAGTTCGCTAGGTCGTGGCGGAACAATGTTGACAATCTATGTCCACCACGAGCATGGTAACTGTGTACACCAGTCAATCAACGTAAAGGTCGTCATCGAACACTCATTCAAAGCGCGGCATATTAAAAGTCACTGGGTTCCTTGACACACGTCCTAACTGAATGAATTGTCTACGTTGGGCGAGGAACGTAAGGCGCTGGCAACATCGGGTACGGTATCTGTGGTGTTTTGGCCACATATTAAATACACAATGTTTGTGACCTGAAAGTGAAATCAAAACACTTTTCAAAATATTTACGTTTTTAAAAAAATAAAAAAATCCCAAATTAAATACACAATGTTTGTGACCTGAAAGTCAAATCAAAACACTTTTCAAAATATTTACGTTTTCTTAAATAAACCCAAAGCACCAGGGCCCTTATTCTTGTTCGTACTTTCTTTTTGTACGTCCAGTCTATGTTACGTTTATCCCAGGGTCATGAAATGTCGTATAGGGATGGAGGTGCAGTGTGAGTGGACAACCACAGTACACGCGCTCCGACGGTCTGCCTCTGAAATGCACATGACCAATACTCGGATTTTCTGGTTGGTTGGTTGGTTGGTTGGTTGTTTAACGCCGCACTCAGCAATATTCCAGCTATATGGTGGCGGTCTGTAAATAATCGAGACTGGACCAGACAATACAGTGATCAGCAGCATCGATCTACACAATTGGGAACCGATGACATGTGTCAACCAAGTCAGCGAGCCTGACCGCCCAAACCCGTCGGTCGCATCTTTCAACAAGCATGGGTTACTGAAGACCAATTCTAACCCGGATCTTAAAGGGTTAGCATTTTGGATATGCAAGTGCATGTTGTGACTAGAACAAATACTATATAAACATATGTAGAACTTCAAATGATTTGCCATTGACAGACGAGTAAAATATATATACCGGCTGAGCAACAAGCGGTGTAATGTATTTCTGTATTAAACTACGGTTTTAACGAACTGTTTTTTTACCCCGATCACTTATACTTTAGTCGAAATGCGTATATCAAATTAAGGTTATGACGAACACAAATTAGTGGTCCCTTGGAGTTCGTTATGTCCGTACTTTACTGTCCATACCCGTTCAGCTAAAAACCGTTTTATTACTACAAATGTTTTATGGCTTAAAACGGGCGGGGGTATCCCGAATACCCTTTTGATAGGTGTGGTAAGGGAGGCAGTTTGTTCTAGAAGGCAAACGTCCGTTAAAATCATCCCTGCGTAGCTTTCAGTCTCACCACCCGTATTTCAACATAACGACAGTCCTTGTAACGCATAGTAGTAAATCTCACCACCATTTAGCCACCCGTTATAACGCCCCTGTTTAGATCACGTTAAGAATATTCATGAGCAAACACATATTTCGTATTTCGCAAGACTTCGCCACGACAACGACCTCTACTGCCCATGTTTACAAATCACTTGATCGATTAAGTTACCCCAGCGGTTCCCGTTTACCCAGCGAATTTGTTCACGGTGTCCAGCAACGAGAGTAACGCCTCGGCACTCGCTTTCTTCCCATTCGTCAAAACTCGTATCTTTCCGTAGCTGGACGAGGGTAAACATTTACCCGGGGTAGGTTCGGAATGCTCAACAGAGCGAACCTGTATGGGTGCGGTTGTATACAATCTGGGTCACGGCACTGATACGGTTAGGAGATCGCACACAAATGATTTCGCAATGAGGAGAGGCATGTCGTGTGTTTTTCGAAGGGGATTTAGAACTGAACTGGTCAAGTTGACGATGGACACAATGACACTGTGATTCAAGTACAGAACGTCAGTGCAAAACAATACCCAGGCTTGACTACCTTCAGAAAGATTCCTTTTTGTGTAAAGGGAATAATAGCGATGAAAATAATATGAATGGATCGCTGAAAGCTATTTTAAGAACAAGGAATCCAACAAGGGTAATACCAGATTTTCAGGACTCAGCCTTACACCAAGGTAGGTAATGCACGTTCTATTATGTTTTTTGTCGTAGTTGTCTTGAAAATGCTGTTTATGGAATGAAAGACAACGACGTCGATGGTGAAGGCTTGTCTTATGACGGGTCTGAACACAATGGGGTTTTTGGGGTTGCTTTTTGTTTGTTGTTTTGTTTTGTTTTGTTTGCGGGTGTGTGGGGGTGTTGTTCCAAAGAAATTACATACATGAGTTTCAAAAGTTGTTGATTTATGAAATAGGTAAGAGTTCCTCCCGTTCCCCCATCCCAAATAATATGTATAAATATTCTAGAATTATATACAAAACTTAACACAACAATTACTAAAGAACTCACAAAATGATTAAAAGTCCAAAATTTAAGTTAGGGCTAGGTTTAGGGTTAGGTTTAGGGTTAGGTTTAGAGTTGGGTGAACGGAAGGAACTCTTTCCATGAAATATTACAAACATTAGGTATCCCAAAGCGAGCTGAATTCGACGTTCTGGTGATTTCGACGATTGCATTGCTCGCGCTATATCGGGTGAGTACGTGTGCGATCGGAGTGCACAAGCAGTCACTGTCGTGAGAAGTTTTATTGACAATGGAAATCTGGAAGTTAAGTTATTTAAAAGGCAAACAAACATCAATATTATATACCTGAGATTGTTAATACCACTTCAGATGCAAAATCAACTGACAATATAACAAAAAATAGCAAGCGAAACTTCAGTAAGATCAGTCGTCTGCTAGTGACAGGCAATATATAAATAGGAAGCCACGTGATCACAACACTCCGGCAGTGCGGAGCGAAAAAGTATATGGCTCATCGTTGAAAACCCATACAAAATACCCGGATGTGGAGAGCGGCAACAATTTCGCCAATACGATGTCATGAACGCTATTTTTGTAGGGAATATATTTTCAGGTCTCTGTTTTATACCGGCGGTAGTCGGGGGGCTGCCAAAACTGGCGTAAGGGCAAACTTTCATATCAAAACCTTTTTATCATATACCACATCTGTAAATATTATATAACAGTCAAAAACGATAAGAGGACAAAAATAGAAAACTGTTTATACATAAGAATTACAATGGAATACTCCAACACCAATTGTAATGCCAACTACTGCTCAACGTAAGCGTCAATCATCCTTTATCAGTCACTGTCAGTCACAACTCGAGCAGACGACACAAGGGACGTAACTCTTATATAAACTAGGCTCCGCCTATTTAAGTTCGAGTAGCAGGGGCGTAGGAACGGTTTTCAGAGCGGGGTGGGGGGGGGGTAATTTATTAAAAGTATTAAAAATCAAAATGAATTTGTAGTTAGTGGCCCTGTTATCCGGAAAATACCCACATGGGTACTATGTGTGAAGCCTATTTCTGGTGTAATACAGATTGTTCTCATGTGGGGAATCGGATATTCGGCGTGACGAGCGTACACAAGGCTTCACCACCTCGATCGCCTGTTATTTATAAGATTATGAGGACAATAAACTCATCATTCAGAGGGATTATCGCTATTAATCAAGTCATTCGGCATACATTAGAATGTACAGTGTATTCACATGGTGTATCCCAGTAAGTTGGGTTTTACGCCGCTTTTAGCAATATTCCAGTAATATCAGAAATGGGCTTCACAGAACGTGCCCATGTGGGGTATCGAACCAGGGTCTTTAGCGAGACGAGCGAACGCCTTAACCACTAGGCTACCCCACCCTTTTAAGGTGAGAGAGTGCATTGGATTTACGAGATGGGTAGATCATTATTGCACAGCCTTTAGCAAATGTATGACTGAAATTCTACAAGCAAAGGCAAGCATTTCATTATCAACAGCCTGTCAACAACTGGAGTGGTTAGTCAACTAGTCCAGACACAAGGAATGGTAAACAGACTTAACCAATGACAAGTCGCAGTGTAGTCCCAGCTACAGGGGCTGGTAACGCAAAACTCTGGCTTCAATGTATATTCTGTCACTATTCGAATAATAGGACACCAGAAATGGGTTTCACACATTGTACTCATGTGGGGAATCGAACCCGGGTCTTCAGCGTGGCGAGCGGACGCATTAACCATTAGGCTACCCTACCGCCCCGTTACGTGTTGGTTCTGAATCAGCAAACAACAATAATATAATTAACAATTGTATTCTAAAAATAACTGTAGTAAGAGACCGTTCATAATATATGGCCGGGTGTGTGTGTGTGTGTGTGTGTGTGTGTGTGTGTGTGTGTGTGTGTGTGTGATTTATGGAGAAGCATGTACAATGTGAATGACCCCACTGTGTGACCCCCTGCATGTCATGCCTTCCCATAATTTATTAGCACAATTTTAAACATATTTTAATGTACAAACTTGCTGACCCACCCCCACCCCCAGTACGTGTGTAAAAAGTGATGACACCCCCATCTCCCAGAACAAAATGGGTGACACCCCACCCCTATTATGGACGGTCCCTAAGAGGCGACTAACGGGATCGGGTGGTCAGGCTCGCTGACTTGTTTGACACTTGTCATCGTATCCCAAATGGGTAGATCGAGGCTCATGATGTTGATCACTGGATTGCCTGGTCCAGACTCGATTATTTACAGACTGCCACCTTACAGCAGGAATATTTCTGATTGCGGCGTAAAAGTAAACTCACTCACTTTAAAGTTAACTAAATCTACAAATTGATACAAATCAGTATAAAGGCATAACAGTGGCCATACAAAACAGAGCGGTAGTACCAATTCAAAATCAGTAATTATAGCAATAAAAACAAGGGCTGTTATATTCACTGACTGCAACAATGGTATCCAGGATACGAATGATCTCCTCACAACGACTGGTCTTCTTGTAACTTGAGATGTAATGTAATGTAATATGCGAGGCAAGAACTCGCGTTACCAAAATCGTGACACACCGTGACATGTTGGTTGATGACAGGGTCGAGTCGTGACATATAGTTCCATGATAAGAGGTCCTATTAAGCTGCCCACTGATATGTACCGTACAATGGTAGAACATTTGATTTTAATGAGCTTGTGGGCCAGGAAGCGGACAAAATAGGATGAGATTCGAACCCAAGACAAGCGGAACCTGACATGTTTAGGGGATGCAATCGTCAACGCTGAGCTCCGGGTACTTCCAACATGCCCCTGGAACAGAGACACTAACCCTTAAATCTAAGTTATAGTCAGTGTGTTTGTTTGGTCTTGACTTCAGTTTTACGCCGCTTTTAGCAATATTCCAGCAATATCACGACAGGGGACACCAGAAATGGGATTTACACAATGTACCCATGTGAGGAATGGAACCCGGGTCAATGGTGCGACGAGCGAATGCTTTTACCACTAGACTACATCACTGTCCCTTGGTCTTATGGGACGTCTTATGGGAAAATCAATAGAATTTTTTGTTGAAACGAAAAACAAAGCAGTAACCCTTGTCTTAGTGTCAGATTTGTTTCATGTTCTGTCAGATGCGGTGGGTTAGCCTAGTGGTTAAAGCGTCCGCTCGTCTCGCCAAACATCCGGGTTCGATTCCCCACATGGGTTAAGCCCATTACTGGTGTCCTCCGCCGTGATATTGATGGATTATTGCTAAAAGTGGTGTACAACGTTAACTAAACTCACTCATGTTGTGTCATGCTGTGTCATGTTGTGTCATGTCGAAGTCTTGCAAATGCGAAATACGATAATCTGTTTTATATTTTAGATCAACGGGACCTTATTTTGTCAAGGTGAACGCATGACGTCAAAAAACATCACTAAGGACTGCGGATCATCACTAAATCATCGATATGAAACGGTTATTACGACATTCAAGATTAACTCTAAACACACGTCTTCGAATATGTTTCTTCTGTCTCATACTATTCGCTGGAGGCCTATTTCTGGAAATATTTAATGTGTCAGAAGTTTCAGACAACGAATATATTCATATTTTCGACGCTGGAAAGGCTCCAAACTCCTCACATAAAACCATCCTTTTGTGGACGTCGCTATTCGACAACAGCACGTGGACACTGCCAAATTTAAACATACGTAGCTGTCCAAATTATTACCCAAGTAAATGTGACCTGACAACCGATCGAACGCGCCTCGTCTCAAGCGATGCGTTGTTATTTCACATTGGGGACGTATATAAACTGCCTTCGATTAGACGGTCCGATCATATCTGGGTTATTTTCAATATGGAGGCTTTACCAAACATAAGGCAAAGTTTCAAACATTTTAATGGCCTTTTCAATTGGACAAGCTGGTATAGGACGGATTCGACTGTACCTATGTCATATGGCTATGCTTTAAAGCGGTCTATAAGAGACACAGAAGCACCTTTAGATATATTCGCTGAGAAATCCAAGATGGTGTTTTGGGCTGCTAGCAATTGTGACGACCGAGTTCAGCGATACAAGATGGTGAACGAACTGAAACAATATGTCGATGTGGATACGTATGGTCGATGTGGGGAACTGGTTTGTGACAAGACAGATAAAAAGTGTTTTGAGAAGCTGGCGGAATACAAGTTCGTACTTTCTTTCGAGAATAGCCACTGTCGTGATTACGTTACAGAGAAGTATTGGTTGGCGTTGAGGAGGCGACAGATTCCTGTCGTATATGGCGGGGCTGATTACGAATCGTTGGTACTCCCGAACTCTTACATCAACGTCCGGGATTTCGCCAACCTATCATCACTTGCGACTTATATGCTTGACGTCGCTGAGAACAGAACGTTATATAACAGCTATTTTGATTGGATGAGGGATTATGAATTGCCCCCCTGCAATCAAGAGTTGAATGAGCACTGTTTTGATATGGAGTCGTATTTCTGTTCCCTGTGTGGAGCTCTGCATGAAAGGACTGTACCGTCTCAAGTGTACAGCAACTTGCATAGGTGGGCTACAGATGACCTACCACAGTGTGAGGAGTTTTCAGTAAGTGCCTAATTTGCATTTTTCTATAATTGTCATTGCCATTGACCAATCGAAACAGTGGTTACTCGTAAAGGTCGTCAGTTCAAGCAATGTTATCACAATAGTGAGTGAGTGAGTTAATATTTAACGTCACATCGGCAATATTTCAGCCATATCGTGACGAATTTATCACAATAAGATATTATGCTAGTCGATATCAACAGGATACTAACATGCGGGAAGATCTAATGAAACCTCCATTCGAGGAACCTTAGCGAATGTGACCGCCCAATCTAAATGAAAGATCTTTGTGTTCCTGGAAATTCGGCTTCGTTCCTTTACCAACTCGATTTGGAAAGGTCGATCTTACAAATGAAATCGGGTAACAGGATCGGGTGGTCAGGCTCGCTGGCTTGGTTGATCCTAATTGATCGATGCTCATGCTGTTGATCACTGGATTGTCTGGTACAGACTCGATTATATACAGACCGCCGCCATATAGCTGGAATATTGCTTAGTGCGGTGTAAAACTAAACTCACTCACACACTCAGAAATGAAATATACACGGAAGTTAAAGGATCAAAATCATGGTCAACTCTTCTTCATGTTTAAGAAATGATAGTTTGAACGATACCAGTGAGTAAATCTCCACAGTTACTGGCCCGACTGGCTGGTGACTTTCATGGATTTATTTGTTTTTGATCGTAGTTTACCTTTTTGTAATCTGTTACTCAGTTTCTACATTCAAATTTCGGGCTAATGAATTATTATGTGGGGTAGTAACTTTCAGGCATATCTAGCCCGACTGGATAGCAAAATTTGGAAACTATTTCGCATACTGCTACCCCCCAGGCCATATACTCCAATTTTCCGTGGTTATTATGAATTATTTGAGCGCCCATTTTGAATTATTTGAGCGCCCATTTTGAATTATTTTTAGCTCATCATTTTGGATTATTTGAGCGCCCATTTTGAAGTATTTTAGCTCCCCATTTTGAATTATTATAGCGCCCATTTTGAATTATTTGAGTTCCCCATTTTGAATTATTTGAGCTCCCCATTTTGAATTATTTGAGCGCCCATTAGTCATGCACCTCATTCACATGTTGTGTGATTTTAGTATTTCAGGTGGATCATCTCATGGATACTACCGTTCATGTAGCTTGTGCCGTGATGAGGACCCTGGAATAGATGGCAGTGCAATTGGGGATTCCAGACAAGACATTCTCAGAATTATTTGATTCAGAGCTTTCCTTGGCCACCAGTGTGGACAAAAAGCATGGAACTGTTGCACAACCATAGTGTCACACATACTGATCTATTTATTCTTAATTTAAAAACAATCACTCGAATCTCATTAAAAAGATCATTTTCATCTAAACTAGCACACGGCAGTAACCCCATCAACACCAAAATCATCAGTGACAGCAACAGCCTCATCAGCACCAACACTATCATCAACAACTACATCTTTATCAACAACAACATCCCCATCAACACCATCATCAACAACTACATCCTCATCAACTCCAACATTCATGTCATTATCCTCACCACAGTCAAGTAAAAGCCCTAATCAACCTGGCATCAACTCCACCACCAGTATTCTCAGGTAAACAGTCCAGGTAAACGCAGTATAGGTACACAGTATTATATTTGTATACGGGTAAACACTCAGGGTAAACATCAATGGAGCTTTCACTCCGTCACCACCCGTGAAGATCCGGGTTAGAATTGATCTTCAGCAACCCATGCCTATCGTAAGAGACGACTAAAGAGTTGGTGATTGAGTTTAGTTTTACGCCGCTTTTAGCAATATTCCAGAAATATCACGGCGGGGGACACCAGAAATGGGCTTCACACATTGTACCCATGTGGGGAATCGAAACCGGGTTATCAGCATGACGAGCGAACGCTTTAACACTTTAAGTCAAAACCCCACCGCCCCAGGCGACTAATGGGATCGGGTGGTCAGGCTCGCTGACTTGGTTGACACATGTCATCGTATCCCAATTGCGTAGATTGATGCTCATACTGTTGATCACTGGATTGTCTGGTCCAGACTCGATTATTTACAGACCGCCGCCATATATCTGGAATATTGCTGAGTGTGATGTAAAGCTAAACTCACTCACTCCGTCACCTCGCGGGCACTGCACTACGATTATCGTAACACTGTTAAAGTAAGGGCTTCAGGATCATCTCGGGATTGGGACAGCTTTATGTTCAAACACGCACGCACGTACACACACACACACACACACACACACACACACACACACATATCGTCCCTTGTAACATGTTGGATGTGAGTGAGTTCTGTGTGTTTCCCATCTTCCGTCCGATCTGAATTTTCTTACCGACGAGAAATGATAAAACATTCTCCCCGCTGCTGTCGAATTGTAAGGCCTGATCTGTCAAAGAAATACTCTCACTTTTGCAAACTCACACGAAATCCAGATCAGCTTGATCTTTCTTCAGCTACATCTATTAAAACATGTTTCAGGAGCAACGCGACTCGACTAAATTTTAAATTTCATAAAATAAGTTTTTAAAGCGGTGTCGGGTATAACGAACAAGCGGCTATTACTGAACATTTCCGTATATTTCTCTCAACTTCCTGTGCCTTTTCTTTGCGTATAGCTTCAGAGCTTCCAGAGTTTCTTTCAGCAAAACTGTCATTTAACTTAGGAAATATCAATCGAAACAGGAAGAAAAGAGAATAAAGGAAAAAAGACAAAGAAGTCACAGGTTACACGAAATGCGTGTAAGTGAGTGAGTTTTCTTTTACGCCGCACTCAGCAATATTCCAGCTATATTTGTAAATAATCGAGTTTGGGCCAGACAGTTCAGTTATCAACAGTGTGAGCATAGATCTACGCAACTGGGATATGATGACATGTGTGAACCAAGTCAGCGAGCCTGACCACCCGATTATTTAGAGACCGCTGCCATATAGCTGTACTATTGCTGAGTGTGGCGTTAAACAACCAACCAACATCCCATGTATACATGGATGACGTTAGCCAAGTGAAGGGAGCTCAGTTTGTCAGGTCGGACAAGAAATGTATCTATTTTTGGAAGAATGATCTTAAAACGTATAATGTTTTTCAATAGGAATTTACATGAATTTATATATTTCATAAAACATTGAAGTACAAATCATGTTTGTTGCATTTTATACAAGCTTTGAATTACACTCGATTATCAGGGTTATCTTGAACAGACTAAGTGACCAACCAAATAACAGCTGTAAGAGAGAGTGAGTATGGGTTTACGCCACTTTCAGCAACATTCCACCAATATCACGGCGGGGACACCAGAAATGAGCTTCACACATTGTACCCATGTGGAGAATCGAACCCGGGTCTTCGGCGTGACGGGCGAACGCTTTAACCACCAAATCGGCTACCCTTTTCCAACAAAAATTCTATGATTTTCCAACAGCTGCAACAAGTGTTATGCGGACACAGTACCACCATACATGAGGTGAATACTGGCCTAACTCTTTCCTCGTTCCAGTTACCTACCTTAACTGAATCTGGATCAAAAGGACCTCGTGTAAACGTTCGAAAACAAACGACAATCCATCGAAGCAATGACACTTCAGTGACAACTGAATTAAAATGGCACAGCGTTTGTTCGGTATAGCCAGACCTGATGGGTTAGTTGTTGTTTTACGCCGCACTCAGCAATATTCCAACAATATGGCGGCGGACAAACCAGACAAATGCGGTGATTGACGTCATGAGCCTCGATCTCCGCCATTGGGAGACCGCCTCCGTGGTGTAGTGGTTAGAGCGTCCGCCCGGAGAGCGGAAGGTCGCGGGTTCGATCTCCGACCGCGTCATACCAAAAGACGTTAAAATATGGTACTTGTTGGTTCCTGCCTGGCGCTCGGCATTAATGGGTACAACAAGGACTGGTCGGCTCGGAGTCAGTATAATGTGTCTGAGTGGGGTATTCATGCTTCACTGCGGCATGGTATCTCAGTGGGCTAGCACTATTAAACCAGCTTAAGTCTTGGCTAGTACAAGCAGCCACACATACACATACACACGCATGCACGTCGTCATATGAGCGAAATATTCTCAAGCACGACGTTAAACCCCATATCACCTCACCTCCGCAATTGGGATACGATTACGTGTTAACCAAGTAGGCGATCCTGACCACCCGATCCCATTAGTCACCTTTTACGACAACCATGGGTTGCTGACGACCAATTCTAACCTGTGTCTTCACTGGTAAACCCGACGTGACTGTTCGGAATATCCCGACAGGGACGTTCGGAATGAAAAACATAAAATTTGACAATATGATCTCTCAGCATCAGGCTTGGTGGACATTTGTGCGTGAATATGATTCTCACTAAACGGTTCTCGGTTACCAGGATATGGAGTTATACCCGACACCGCTCTATACAATTGTCTTTTGGTTTTTGTTTTATTCACATGTATATTTTTCATTTGCTTAAAAATGAAAATCACATAAAACCCGAATGGCCGTAACAGGAAATCGACTGGAAAGCATACGGTTGGCGTGAATTAAGTTGATTCTGGTGTGTTTCACAAACTTTGAAAAACTCAGTGAAAAATGATAATGCGATCCTTCTTACATGGGTTTTATTAATAAAATTATGTAAGAGCGTGTTTGTTGGTAATGACTTTGGAAGGTATATCTCAAGGACGGCTTTCAGTCTGCCAGAGCGGTGGGGCTAATGTTGCAATCCTAGTGGTTAAAAGCGTTGGCTCGTCACGCCGAAACCGACCCGGGTTCGATTCCCCAGATATGGAGTACAATGTGTGAAGCCCATTTCTGGTGTCCCCCGCCATGATATTGCTGGAATGTTGCTAAAAGCGGCGTAAAACCACATTCACTCACTTCACACTTACATTCCCAGTTTTATTCACATTTTACATCTTTGGTGCTTTGATGATGCGGCGTTCAGCAATACACACACACTCACTCACTCACTCATTCACTTGATGGTTTCTGTGTTTACTCCGCATTCAACAGTATTACAGTTATATGACGGCAGGACTATTGTAAGAATCTGGTTTGGTTTATTATTTCAAGTGATATCATTTGGGCGTAGAGCATTTGAAACTAAAAGGCAGATAATTATAGGTGCCTTGGCAGATAATTACAGGTGACTAAAGGGCAGATAATTACAGGTGACTAAAGGGCAGATATGGTGACATGCATGGTCGTCAGGCAAGTTCGTAAGTTCGTCTTCATGAGAGCGCATACAAAACGATAAGAAAACATCATGAATTGATATGTTTGCAATGACTGGTAATCATATAAGTTATTGTAAGTAAATACATGAAAACTATGCAGTCCGTAATACGTTATGACTAGGTTATGTACTGTTGTAAACATTTGACATTATTGCTGTATGTGAATCTAAGTTAGTTTTGTTTATTGTTACAGTCAATCACACCTCAAGTCAACTCAATACAACCAATCTTCTAAGAATAAAGATATGACGTCGCTCTCTCATAATCATCGTTCGTTCGTTTGCTAGTTATAATAATTAGATCATCCAGTGATCGACACCATGGGCATCGATATGCTTTGGATATACCATGACATGGATCAACTAGTCATCAAGCCTGTCCACCCGTTACCGTTAGACCCGACAAGCATTGGTTGCTAAAGACCAGGGCCCCTATTCTCGAAACGTTCGTAGACCTAAGAATTCTTAACTTTGATCGTAGCCAATGTGTTAAGAATTGGCTTAAGAAGTTCGTAGGGCTACGAACGTTTCAAGAATAGCTAGCCATTTCTGTATTTGATCTAGGTCCCATCTTTGATATTTCCCTGTGACGCTGGTTGTAAATAGATGTATACGTGGCTATGTTACTAAACTTTGTCAGTAAATATGAAAACATGGGCTATACTAATGTTATTCTTAAAACGTATTCTAGAATGTGAATAGCTATGTCTGTATACTAGATGCTATGAACCAAACCTAAATCTTATCATGTATACTGAAAGCTGCAAGACGTTAAATGTAAGCCATCGGTTGTATGCTGTAAGCTGTCGGTTGTATACTGAATGACGTGGGTTGTAGGCTACAACGTGTGCAATGTAAGCCATCGGTTGTATGCTGTAAGCTATCGGTTGTATTCTGAATGAGGTAAACTGTAAGCTGTAAGGTGTTTAATGTAAGCCATCGGTTGTATGCTGTAACCTGTCGGGTGTATACGAATGTAAGCCATCGGTTGTGCAATGACTGTAGGCTACAACGTGTGCAATGTAAGCCATCGGTTGTATGCTGTAAGCTATCGGTTGTGTGCTGAATGAAGTAAACTGTATGCTACTAGGTGTTTAATGTAAGCCTGCGGTTGTATGCTGTAACCTGTCGGGTGTGCACTGAATCTATGCCACATGCTGTACGATGTACTTTGTACCATGTATGCCATAGGTTCGTAAGTTCTGTTTTATGTGTTGACTGCGTGGCGTATTTGAGATGGCTCTTATCAAGATTTATTGTTCTTGTTGGGTGACTCGTCGCCATCTTGTAAAAGTCCATAGTCGGCCTTCCCGGAGAACATGTAGTCATAGTTTGTTCTTATATGGGGACAGTTCTATACGCAGAGTTGCGTCCTTTGGATCTACAGGGATCCTTTATCATGGGTTCGAATCCATTACTATCATATTTCAAGGTTTGTCAGCATCACGCCGTGGTCTTGAGTTTCACCACACTGGATAACGTCTCTGGCCTACATCATTCCCCACATGAAACTGAAACACTTTGTTATTACTGAAACACCTTGTTATTACTAAACACCGTGTTATTACTGAAACACTGTTCACATGACGTGTCCATGAAGATATGGGTTAGAATTGGTCTTCCGTAACCCATGCTTGTCGCAACGGGCGACAAACAGGATTAGGTGGTCAGGCTCGCTCAGCGTCGCTGACTTGATCGACACAAATCATCATATCCCAAAAGCGTAGATTAATGTTCTTGATGTTGATCACTGGGTTGTCAGGTTCTGACTCGATTATTTACAGAGTGCGTGACAGTGTAAATGCTTCTTTAAACAACAAACAAACGAACAATCAGTGACATGAGAAGAAAGCAGTATGTAAAACGACAACCTAGACATTTACGTTCGCTTCATTTCGACCGTAGTGAAGAACGCGTAAAATATTCACGACCTGCCACAGTGTTCGGAAACCATTTAAATTTATATGAATTTTAAAATTAAGTGAGTTTAGTTTTACACTGCTTTTAGCAATATTCCAGCAATATCACGACGGGGGACACCAGAAATGGGCTTCACACATTGTGCCCATGTAGGGAATCGAACCCGGGTCTTCGGTGTCCCTAGCGAACACTTTAACCATTAGGCTGCCCCCACCGCCCTTGTACGTCTTGGGAAGATGCGAGTAATCCCGAATGCTGCAAAGACATTCAGATTGTACTGGAATGATTCCGAATGGTCACGAATACGCTGTTCGTGCCGTCTCCCCCGAAACCGAAACACACAAGGGACAGTGTAACATATTTCAGACAGAAGATAATGGTCTCTGGGTGTGCCCATAAATTACCACCGTATTAGCGGGAGTCCCCGTGGAGGCCTGAAAGCTTGGTCTTGGCTATCGGACTCGATCGACCAACAAATGGAGAATCTGTTCCACATATGTTTTTTCGGGGTTTTCTTTTGGTCTAAAACCGCACCCAACGATACTCCAGTTATATGGCGGTGATATGTACATCAATGAGTCTCGACCGAACAATACGGTGATTGACATCATGAGCATCGATCTACGCAGTTTGGAGGTTAAGACATGCATCAGTCTGAGAGCCAGTTCCACGAGCCTGAGCACCCGATACCGTTAGTCAGCCCTTACTTACTGACTGACTGGCTGACAGAGTTGGGTTTAACGCCTCCTTTAGCAATATTCCAGCAATATCACGGCGGGGGACACCAGAAATAGGCTTCACACATTGTACCCATGTGGGGAATCGAACCTGGGCCTTTGGCGTGACGAGCGAACGCCTTAACCACAAGGTCACCCCACCGCCTCTCACGACACGCATGGGTTGCTGAAGATCAATTCTAACCCGGGACGTCACAGGGAATTAATGCCATTCAGAAGTGAGGGTACAGATATATGATGATAACAACTTTGCTAGATGCGGCTATATTGAAGGAAGTGTTAATTCGGTAAATAGAGAGGACTTAGGCAGACTAGGGAAACCAGGTGTTATCTCCCAAATTCAAACAGCTAACAAAAACAAGTCCATCAGCCAAATATGGATTGGGCGACTGGTTGAAAGAAATTCGTTGTGTCATCATCATAAATATAATCGGTAACTGTAACTTCTCCCTGAAGATGGTGGGGTAGCCTAGTGGTTAAAGCGTTCGCTCGTCACGCCGAAAACCCGGGTTCGATTCCCCACGTGGATACAGTGTGTAAAGCCCATTTCTGGTGTCCCTTGCCGTGCTATTGATGGGCTTTTGCTAAAAGTGGCGTAAAACTCACTCCCCGAAGACACTGTTGGGAAAAGTAAGAGGGACATGCGTGTTGTGTGACTGTTTTTGTTCATTTCTCTAGGGCGGTGGGGTAGCCTAGTGGTAAAGGCGTTGGCTCGTCACGCCGAAGGCCCGGGTTCGATTCCCCACGTGGATACAGTGTGTAAAGCCCATTTCTGGTGTCCCTTGCCGTGCTATTGATGGGCTTTTGCTAAAAGTGGCGTAAAACTCACTCCCCGAAGACACTGTTGGGAAAAGTAAGAGGGACATGCGTGTTGTGTGACTGTTTTTGTTCATTTCTCTAGGGCGGTGGGGTAGCCTAGTGGTAAAGGCGTTGGCTCGTCACGCCGAAGGCCCGGGTTCGATTCCCCACATGGGTACAATGTGCGAAGCCCATTTCTGGTGTCCCCCGCCGTGATATTGCTAAATGCGGCGTAAAACCATACTCACTCACTCACTCTATCCCCCCTGTACCACCCACTGCCACCTCTGTTTCTCTTTCAGTGTTTAATCTCGCCAGACACGATTCAGATAACCTGACACGCTTCACGTTATGTTTCTTCGAAGTGGGGCATAATAGTGTAGCCCTCCACCGAGTGTATGTGTTAAAGTGGCAAACGTGTGATATCTCCTATTTCTGTCCTCATCTCCCCAAATCCGTCACCCTGAAGACCCGGGTTCGATTCCCACATGGGTACATTGTGTGAAGCCCATTCCTGGTGTTCCCCGTCGTGGCAGAGCCTAGGTCACAAATCAGTTGAAGTTAAGCAACGTTGGTCGCGGACAGTCCTTGGATGGGTGGCCGTGTGTGGCAGCTTGACTCCTGAGAGCTTCTAGGACTTTAGCCACAACGAAATACGCGTGACACATGTGGTCTCACTTTAGGCAAGTAAGTATGTCATGAATTGCCTCTGTTCACTCAGCAGTGAATGGGTACCCGGTGGGATATGTCATATGACTGTTAACCTTCTAGCGCCTCACAGGCAGCTTGGGTTATCCGACGTAATAATACGTTAACGCTTTGAGCATGCACAAATGCGTGGATACCGGCGCCTTATAAATAGTCATTATCATATTATTACTTATTTTATGATCACGTCGCTTTAGATGCATATAATTTGCTCGACCGTTTATCGATTCAGCCCTCAAAGTAAAGAAAATACCATCCGAACAAAACAGTCATTCCAATCAATCACAGACCGCCGTCATATAGCTGGAATATTGCCGAGTGAGGCGTTAAACAACAAACAAAAGAACACATGGGCAAGTTTTAATTATGGAAGTGGAATCAACTGGCCCTTTTCGAAATAAAAGCCTTCAACTTCCATTCGTGTTTGCCCAGTTTCGTCATCAGTTTGGTTTATCTCTTGGTTGCTGAACGAGAATTTACATATTAAGAAACCCAACTGTCTTCCTCTGTTACAAATGAGTGAGTGTTATTTTATTCTGATAATATTACGACGGGGAAACAAGAAAATGACCTCACACATTGTATCCATGTGGGAAATCGAACCCGAGCCTTCGGTTTAACGAGCGAACGCGATAACCAGGGGCCCATCCCTAGTTCTAAATGAATTTACCCGATATGAAATACTTCAAAACACCAGCAAATTAAAATTAGGTGTTTCCCCTTTGCGTTATCTATGAACAAAAAACAACTCCAATCGGAATAATATATCATATTCTTATTTCAAATATATATACTCAAGTATGTTGAAATTTGTTGACACATTTATGGTATACCACTCAAAGATAAGAAGGGTCGACCATGTTTTGGATTACTTGGCTCCCGGGTGAAATAGTATGTTAATTTCTTTATCCAGCACCCGTCGGAGTATCAAATGACTGGTCCCTTACAACGATATCAGTGGCTGGAATGGGCATCTGATGTGGCCATAGTCCGCCTTTAAGATCTGAGTGAGTGAGTGATTTGAGTTTGACGCCGCTTTGAATATTATCACAGTTATATGGCGGCATGACAGCTTGGTCTGGGTTGAAAGCTTGAAGTGATAAAGTCTTAGACGTTCACTCCTTTCCTGAGACCAACCTAGAAACATTTGAATCGGGATTCGAACCCACAAATATAGGTTTCTGGTGTTGGTAAGGGGAGGCAACTCTGTAAAGAGTATTGGAGCGTGTTACTTATATGATATACATGTTGAATGATGCCCAGGGAGTTGACTAATAATACTTTGTGCCGTTTGAGTTTGACATCCAATGATCGAGGGAAAATCAAAGCGCCTTTGAGCAGCTGAGCTGGATATTGGCGCTATACAAATGTTAGTGTAATAATAGTATAATAATACACGTTATCTGTGTCTAATATGTGTCATGGACAACGCATCATTTGGTATATGTTGACGACGGAGTCTTAACAGCAGCAGTTTAGCCGACTCCTTGTACGAACGATTCGAGAAGTAATAGATCAAAGGATTAAGCATCGAATTGACGTAGCCTAGCCACACGACGAGTCCATACACCTTGTCTGATATTTTGTAACCCAGGAAGGGATTGGCCACGGTGACAATTTCCGACGGAAGCCAGCACACACTAAACGCCACCAGAATGATTCCGATAGTTTTTGCTGCTTTCAGTTCCTGCTTAACGCTCTTACCATTGCTGCCGTTTTCGCTCACAGAGAGAGTTCTGATCTGAAGGGCTTGTTTTCGAGCTTCGTAGAAAATCTTGAGATAACACACCATAATTATGATAAGGCAGATGACAAAAGCCATGAAAGTGGCAACTGAATATGCTTTGTTGGCGAAAAAGTTACAATGACCCATGGTGGAGCCCAAGGGTAATGCGCATGCGTACCAGTCCTCCAATCCGATTCGATAAAGCTGACTCATGATTGGTAGAAAGGAAAACCCGATTGGGGCGATCCATGACGTCATAAGCATTAATATGACGCTTTTCTTGCCAACACGTTCGTAGAAGAACGGATAACTTACACTTAGACATCGGTCTATTGCCATGAATGATACGTGGAAAATTGATAATGTACATAGGTAAACATCAAACGAATTCAACAATAAACACACGAAGTCTCCAATATGCCACGTGAGGCTAGTATACATTAGATATGTGCTGAGTGGCATTGGTCCCAGGGCTATCAGGAGGTCTGCGACTGCAAGGGAGACAACCAATATATTTGTTTTTGTTCTACGCGACCTGTTGAAGCAGACGATCATGATAACGAGGCTGTTGTCCAAGATGGCGACCAACGTCACGAGAATCATCAACGTGCATATTACTATCCTCGCTTCCAGCTGGAATCTCGTCGCGAGAGGGGGACCCTCCAAGAGAATTCTTGCACACCGATCGTCCAAGATAGTTCTTGATTTGTTCCCTAAGTCGAAACTGCTGTTCATGCTGATTATTAGGGAGATCACTTTTTGATGCGTTTGTGAATAAGATACAGAAAACATTTGGAATATGAGGATTTGACACAATACTTCCAGATTAGATTTCCTTTTGATCCAAAGAGAAGTTCATGTTTGTGACCTCACAGAAAAGATGACCACATTGTTAAAAATTCCGGGACGTTTGAGCTCATCACATGGGTCCACATCTAATAAACACAGATATTGAGATATGGCGTCAAAGGAAGAGTCCTCATAGTTAATTTGAGTAACGTAACGCGAATACTATGGACTTGGAATTGACGTTAAAGAGCGACGTCATATCACGCACTGTTAGTGTCTGTCGAAACAAGCCATGGGACTGGTACAACAAGCAATTTTCGACTGATCACTTAGATCACTGACCTACCTTCCGTGACGACCATCTGTCGCCACTAGGAGTCGATCCTTTGAATCATTTGGAAACTTTACACTCCAAGAAATCACTGCACATTGTAAGATTTGTCTCCCTTTAAATCATCCAATAAAATTAGCCTTCTATAGCAATAACGTCTTATGATCACTTAGAGTGACCTACCTTTTGTGACGACCATATGTCGCCAGTAGGTGTCGCTCCTTTGAATCACTTGGAAACTTTACACTCCAAGAAATCACTGCACATTGTAAGATTTGTCTCCCTTTAAATCATCCAATAAAACCAGCCTTCAGCAGCAATAAAGTGTGCCTTCAATTCTGAATGTAAATCTCCTCACAGGTGGAATCTAACAATCCAGGATTTGTAAGATCGTTGCCGGGAAATCCAACGACACACTACACCAGATTAGCTCAGGGATGACTCGGTTATCACATGTCCAAAGCTAACATTTAACATCCTTGCCAATTTTGCCGGAGTACACGGAAATAGATTAATACCCCACCTACACGGGTAATAACACAACACACGAGTTTCTAAATGTGTCCAGCTGTGCTGAAGAATGCTCGATGGCAATTTGGATCCCCCACACAGAATATCCTGGATGAGATGGTACACTGTTATCGCGATAAGATTGACCACGTGCCGATCAGCTGTAATCAGACCGATTGTTCAGCGCTCTGAAGGTGAGAAATGTCCGATGGATCAGATTCGCCCATTCCAGAAGGTCCCAACAATAGACCGTTATCAGCACTGGTTTTACGAGAGCTCATTTTTCAGTGTATCGATAGTGGCATATAGGTTAGGCATGACGTAGAAAATTGGTTGATTCATTTTTAATATCTCCTAAAGGTGATCATATTTGCCTCCTTCAATGTCTTTCTGTTGTAATCGAGAGAGGAGCATTGTGACATACCTTGGTTCCATAGTTCGAGGCAGTACAGCACTCAAGTGTAGCACCTGTGTAACTGAGATCACTGTTTATCAACAGCGGTTTTTAACAATGCCACTTTACAGATTTCCAATTGCACTTAAGTGGCTGTAAAATTATTTTCCATATTTAAATATTTCCACTTTAGCAGATAAAGATTAGTTTCCCTTGTTATCAAGATATTGTTGTGTTCCGCCTGACGATTTACTGTCACAAAAGGAAGTGTTGATGTTCCTCTTTTATAAAACCTGTTGATTGCTTCCGCATTTGAAATCTGTTGATTTTTTCATTGAACCCGAATTTCCACTTTATAATATTCTTTTTTCGAAGCTTTTCTTCAATATGTGTACGTTATAACATGTACATGTCATTCCATTTGGTAAAGAGCTCCGTCTCACAAAATGTTGTCTTTTCCATATGGAAAATGTTGTAAAGTTCCAATGTTATTCGTAATCCTGTTCATTAAAGTTCCTTGGGCACTGATGAAGAAATCCCAATGCAAAGATTACCAGGAAGTCAACGGGTCCACAGTAGCAGGATATCCTCTATGGAACTAATACACGTTTTTCAAACTGAAACAATCCACTGAACAAATTGAGCTTTTCTCAGGCGACCACACACTCCATCAGTGAACTTGTCTTTCAGCTTCCATCAGATCACGTTAAGCCAGAATATCACAACGGCAATCAACTCTGTGTCAATGTCAAAATGACGTGTCTTATCACATTGTTCACATTTTCCCTTTGTACTGAAATATACTTTCTTGAAAAGTCCCGTCCAGCTTCTTAGTACACGATGGCGCCACGTCTTTGTTATCAATAATATACTAATCATAAACCCATACTTCCCAGCACGCTAATCCATACCGCATATGATATGTTGCAATTAGGGAAATCTGGTAATACCCCGTACATCATTACCCACAGTGTAATCAGTGGGTTGAGCGTTAAGATGGTGTTACTGTTGGTTACGGATGAGGATGGAGAATTCCAACCATGGGGCGGTTCCAACTTGGGATAACACTGAAATATCTATCAAAATCCGTTTTTCACTTGATCCTGTGTAGTTTATTCCAGGGCTTTTTAGGTGTAACAATGTTTTGAACCAGGCTGTAAAATGTCTGACGTATTGACAATGCCACGGGCCAGGAATCTCCAGATATCTGAACTGTTTACTTCCCATTTATTGGAATGCACTTCTGGGATGATATACGAGAAATCCTCTTCAGTACCAGGAACAGATGCCAGCTGTATCAGGTGCCAAACTAACCCATTCTCTCTGCCATACCTAGATCAGCCAAATAAACACCTTGATTAAGTGATCGATTCCTGATTGGCATCGAATAAATGACAGCGATAGCGTTTGAATGATCGTTAACGATGAAGAGCCTTGTTTCGTTAATATCCGGCCTGGATCAAAGTGATTCGAAAACACTTTAACCGTTCACAATGAAGGAATCGTACCAACTGCATACTTCTCTGAAATTACATGTTTTCACCGACGGGTTCACTTTGGAACCGGAAATTTCTGAGTGCGCTATTACACTTTTATCCGTAAAAATGTTATAACATGTTACGCACAATTATTACGATGCTATTGGTAAATCAATTCCGATCGATGCCACTATTATATGTGCTTAGGTGATTAAATCGTGTCGATTGCAACAGCTGGATACGTTGTACCGAAGATAGTTTCAGCAAACCTGTCGGTCATTGACATTCTTTGAACGTGCACCAAAACAAGATCCTTTCCGGGCTTTTGAATAAGAAATTCTTCGGCTTCATTGTCATTTCATAAAGTATTCTCTTGTCTGAAGTATCGAAAATCTCCACATTTCCTGAATAAACCATTACCCTTTAACATCTGCATTAGGAAGATATTTGTTTTCCACATCAGATATGCTAATTCCACTTGTTTTAAGGAAAGTTATCAATATATCCATTAGAGCTAATTGCTAATGAGAGTCTGTATGAATAAATCCATAAGAGTCACTCATAACGAGCTTGTGTTGTCCTGATATTCTTGAAAATAGGCAAATCAGTAACACAAATTATGTTATTGCATCTGTTCGGTGTCACTTAGTGTCAAATCAGCGAAATGGTACGTGTAAAACAATAATGAAATACCAGAGGGGATATTTATATACAATCCAGTTCTCACAAACATGAAGATTCGTTCATATGATTTGTTTATATTCCACAAGGAGAACAGAGCCGGTAATAAGTATTGGTAACTGTAAGCACTTGAAAACAAAATGGTTATTGTAGTAACGGCAATATGTTCGGGCCAGCTGTATACAGATTGTTTTCTCTGACGTCCGCGCCGGTGACTGGCTATTGGCCTCTCAACCGTTGTTTCCTCCGAGGTCCGCGCACACAGGTTTCGATAAGTTACACGAGAGTAGTACGTTCTCTAAAGGTGTCTCTCAGTTCATATCAATCTGAAATGAAAAAAATATACATCAAAATTAAAAGTTGACAATATCGTACTCTAACTAGAAATTTTAACAAAAGTGCACGTTACTCTAAAGATCTAACATAAACAATAATGACGTATGATCGATACAAGCTTTGGTCTAAATATGTGAAGCAAAACATAGAGTGCGCTTGATACCTAACATTACAAGGCCTAACTGATTAAATCGCTTTGAATCTATTAACCGTCTTGACCTGGGGCGGCTTTCCGATGTAAAATCGACTGTTACAGAAACCATTGCCCTATCGATTCCGGAGGAGATAATTCAATAAAAAGAACAGCCAATCTTATGTAAAAGTGCATATTGATTTTCGGCGGGGGGTTATGAAACTGTCTTAGTTGTTATATACAATTAGGCCACTGATTTGTAGGGTGACTTCAGGAGTCAGAGAACCGCGCGTGTATGGGGTGGGAGTGGAAGTGTGATTGAGAGAGTGTGTGCGTGTGCGTGTGCGTGCGTGCCTGTGTGTGTGCGTGAGCGCGCGCGCCATCTCATCCATCCGTTGGACTAGAATATCTGCGATTGGGTTTGATGGGTGGATTTATTGATTTAGGGGAGCGAGCATTTCTGACTCAGTATAAGAGAGAGAGACAGGGGAAGTTATGCAGGTGTACAAAGAGAGGAAGTTCAGCAGTGTACGTTCTGAGAGAGAGAGAGAGGAAGTTCAGCAGTGTACAGAGAGAGGACGTTCAGCAGTGTACAGAGAGAGAGATAGAGAGAGAGGGTGGGGTGGGGACAGTACAAAAGAGATATCACACGGCTGTCTACAGAGAACATATCACGCACATGAGATCATCGATTGCCACCTTTAACACATACTCGGCGGAGGGCTACACTCTATTATTCATCACCCCCTACCGAGAAGAATCATGTCGAGCATCTAAGGTTATCTAAATCAAGCTTGATATTGTCTCAAACATAAAACACTCGTAAGACCACGTCAGTTGATTGAAAAAACCTTCATTTAGGGTCTGAACAGTCGTTTTCTAGATCACAAAAAAGTTTCTCGTCCGACTAAAACATAAACAGGTTGATTACGACTGGAGCAATCATTGAAAATTGATGACAACCATTTCCTGATTTATCGATATCGTGTTAGGTTGAAGTTCCCTCAACCAAACTAATTGGGTCCCAGAGGCCAACATGTCTGTTTCGAAGGTCTTTGTACATCTGAAATAGACACGCCGAAAATCTGTTTAAATTGGTTTGAATGTATTTTCCATAACAATGTACTTTATTTTTAAGTCTCCCGTGGGCAAATGGGTATCGACTTGAAATGGTTGTATTCGGGCGATTCGTTCTTAATTCGTGGACATCGTTTTACCTCGAAAGACAATATGTTCCGCGTGATGCTCATGCAGACAATGTTGCATATATAACCCCCTAATCTCCATGGTAACGATTCCAAATAAATGTTTTACAGTGGTCGAATCGAGGAAGATCACAATAAAACATGCCTTTACTTATTAAAGCGGGACTTCAGGCACGTAGCAAGCCATGTTTTTTCGTGTAAACACGATAGGTTGCAAAGTTTTATATCCAGATAGTATTGAGGGGTTATCATGTGCGAGCCCGGGCTGTGTTTTCATATTGGTAGCAACGCCCCTGGACATACATACATAAATAGGAGAAAGACAGAGAATGTTCATACAAAATATTCTTAACGAACCTTGTCTATCTATTCTACAGATAGAGATGATTTTTCATCGATAGTTTAGTTCTCTTTGATAGTCTAATACGGATCCATCCGGACATTTATTGCCCAGAACGGCGAGAAGATTATACATCTGACATTAAATAAAGAGAAATAACAGACTTGCTGCCTGAATAGATTTATCACAATAATGCTTGGTCTGTATGTGATGGACCTCTTTAACCGGGAATCAGTTCCACAAGATATTGATGAACGTTCGTCCCATACTTTGGGGTAGACTGCAGTATTTGGGTCGGCAAACTGGAACTAATGCTTTCACATTTTACTGAAGTTGTTGAATAACAAAGTTTCAGGCATGCGTAGTTACTTATTGACGGGCGAAGCGAGAGGAGTTGAAGGCAGCCATTTTCCTTCCGACCGCTGTCTCAGCTCAATAAGCATTCCTGCATGGACAATTGAGCTGGAAAAGGCGGGGGGCGGTAGAACCATCCTGTTTTTAAATTGGGGATTTTTCAAATAAATCGGTCGACGGTAAGTTCAATCGTGAATGCGCGTGGACATTTGAAATTAAATTTGAATTATTTGACTTGCTGAACTCGCACGCGTGTGTTTCAAATACATCTACTGGTCCATCTGAACACAATGCATGTTACATTTGAGATTGCACTTTCTCAGTACAGATTCTAATACTTTTGTTAGGTTGATTCCCATCCGGGATTCGAACACACACTGTCAGAGTTAGGGACGTAATCGCCAGCACACAAAGTCAGCGATCTAACCCACTCAGCCAACGCAGCTTCCACTCTGTACTAGAATATGAACTTAGCAGAGAAGGTTTAATCCCAAATATAACATAGGTTACATTCCATGCCTTTCTAAATGGCATTATGTATTCATCTAAACCTGCGTCCGCCCGAAGAGCGGAAGGTCGCGGGTTCGATCGCCGACCGCGTCATACCAAAAGACGTTAAAATATGGTACTTGTTGGTCCCTGCCTGGCGCTCGGCATTAATGGGTACAACAAGGACTGGTCGGTTCGGAGTCAGTATAATGTGTCTGAGTGGGGTATTCATGCTTCACTGTGGCATGGTATCTCAGTGGGCAAGCACTATAAAACCAGCTTCAGTCTGGGCTAGTACAAGCAGCCGCACTTACCCGTACACATGCATGCACGTCGTCATATGAGCGAAATATTCTCAAGCACGATGTTAAACCCAATTTCACCTCACCTCATCTAAACCTACATCATTTTCTTTATCGGCTTCTTTATCATATTGTCTAATCCTTGATAGAGATGTCATGGAACATGGCATAAATGTGTTTGGAATAGTATCATTCCAAGACTGGCAGCACCAGCAGTGGTTTCTACACCATTGGGAGGAATCGAAATCGTGTCATCGGTGTGATAAGCGAACCGTATCCACTAGGCTGCCACACTTCGCCAAGGAAATCATGCTTAAAATATGTACAACTTTGTAATGTTGTACATAAATAAATAAAATGATATACACAACAATAAATATACAACGCATTCTGAACATAAATATTTAGCAATACATCTCGCATTTTCACCTATCATAGAGTCGAACCCATGTCGTTGACGTGATGAGTCACCACTTTAACTGCTTGGCTATCCATCTCTTCTAATGATATGTACCAGTGCGTTAAGCGACATAAACATACAAGCTTTAGCTAAGATATAAGAGGAAAATATTGTGTATTTAGGTAATTTATCAAGTGAGTATGGACTGTTTACTATCTACGTTGTCAACAACAAAAGCACGTGTTGTTGTTTTTTGTCAGCGTCATAGGACATGCGCAGTTGGGTTTTTTCTGGTTCTAGTTATTGTTGTTTTTTTCTATCAGGCTTGACAAATGATCCGAGTAAATGTGAGATGCCATTAAAGCAAAAGTTAAGAGAGAGTTCGATGCAAGAAGTTCTAATCAATATCGTGGAGCCGTTCATCATCCTCTACGTCAAATAAACTGCGCAGCGTTGTTGAGCGGAGATGATGATATTTCTCTTGGAAGTGCATCTCTGACCTAGCGCCGAGATAGGGGACGCGGCCTTTTAATGCCCTCTTTAATTCCTGGTAACGAAACTACTTTAGATCAAATACTATCTAGGTTTAGCAACGGCGTGGCATTTCTTCCTGGCTCGGGATAACGGTAAACGGTTCCAACAACAAAAGCACTTGCTCAGAATCGCTGAATCCTTTTCCGGGTTTTTTTTAGTGTGTAGGTGTTAATTTTATTACGAGGAACAAGCTACTTGACAAATGGACTTCAGATTTGTTTAAGAAGATGGAGAGCAGCTCCAGAAAAAAGGAATCTGTCAGTTCTCTGATTTCACGAATGAACCCGTGACAATCCCGGTTAGAAATGTTTTTAGCAACCCATGCTTGACGTATGAGGCCACTAACGGGATCGGATGGTCAGACTCACTGACTTGGTTGACACATGTCATCGTATCCCAATTGCGTAGATCGATGCTCATGACGTTGATCAATGACTTATTGTTACCGCGTCTGGCACTCGGAGGAGAGACACCAAGAAAGAAGTCAATAATGCGTGTTATATAGTGGGTTATCACTGTTAATATGATAGTGTAACAACACCTAAACATGAGGAGGGAGTATTTTTAAATACATATTCTACATGGCACTGTAGGTCAACTCTACTATCCTCTGATTTTATTGTGGCTCCTTGAGCATGCACAAATACGTGGACACAGACCCATTACAAATATCCATTATTGATTGATTGATTGATTGATGTATTTATTTGTATTGATTTTATGTATGTATGTATGTATGTATGTATGTATGTATGTATGTATGTATGTATGTATGTATGTATGTATGTATGTATGTATTTATGTCTTATTTGAACATACAAATCTATATGTATGTATGTATGTATGTATTTATATCTTATTTGAACATACAAATCTATATGTATGTATGTATGTATGTATGTATGTGTGTGTGTGTGTGTGTGTATGTATGTATGTATGTATTTATATCTTATTTGAACATACAAATCTATATGTATGTATGTATGTATGTATGTATGTATGTATGTGTGTGTGTGTATGTATTTATGTATGTATGTATGTATGTATGTATGTATGTATGTATGTATGTATGTATGTATGTATGTATATATTTATTTATTTATATCTTATTTGAACATACAAATCTATATGTATGTATGTATGTATGTATGTATTTATATCTTATTTGAACATACAAATCTATATGTATGTATGTGTGTGTGTGTGTGTGTGTGTGTGTGTGTGTGTGTGTGT